AATTTTAGGCATTTCCAACTTAGAAGTGTTTGCTGTGGAATAATATAAGAACGTGAATGTAGAAATAAAAACTTTGTTACAGGCTACAGCAGTTTAATTTCGCAGTGCAAATATACCTGTTTTTAATATGTATATTCTTTTCGAAGTGAGATATGCAAATGCAAATTGACCTTCTTTAAATTCGTACTTGCCCTATTTTTCACTCCATAAAAACTACTTTTATCCATGGAGAAACTATTTGACTCTAAAAATAAGCTTGAATTTTTGCGGTGATATAGGCTCATTTCTTTGCAAACAGTGATTTAGTACTTGGTAGTGTAGTTGTTGTTTATGAACAAAAGTCTAAAATGGATTCAACATCAGTCAACAAAAAGGTGTCGCGCTTATTACTACTCTGTAGAGGATAGAAAATTAATTTAATTCACTAGGAATCCGTTCTACAATATAAACTAGAAATCGGCCAACAAATTGCCACAAAATACTACAATGAAAATAGGGTCTCCGAACTACAAATTTCACAGAACGGTCAAGTTTCTCTGCAAAGATTGCCCCCTTACCAATTTTCCTCCAGTAGATAATCGTATTTTTAAGTCAAGGATTATGTATATTTTAACATAAAAGAATAAAAAATGTGGTGATATAGGGTAGATTTTGAATAAAATACGAATATATGTATACAAGATCTGAGCGTTATTATCAAGCACTCGATACTTTCTCCAACAACATATTGCACTTAATTTTTTACAAAATTAAAAATATTCACACATTAAAGATATGAAAATGTAGCTTGCATTAAAAAGAAATGTTGGCTTACCTAAGTTATACCTTACACGTCGATTAAAGCCAAGTAAAACCCTTTGAAAGAATCGTGCCACATTAAATTACAGGTCTCATGGCGGTAGAGAAGTCGACGAAGTATTCAGGATATTTCATAGCCAGTTTAAACGCCATTGTGTACTATTCCTGTGAATTATGATCCCAACACACCAGGTAACAAAATTTACCACTTTGTTCGGCTGTTCCAAGTACACTTTTAAGATACAAGGTCCGATTATATCATGTCCTTCGAAGCATCTGCTCAAAACAGTCCAACATAAATATCACCACTCATCTTCTTCGTGTGAAAATATAAGTTTTGCTTTCAATTACTTTGCTTTAAAAACAGTCATTAGGTTGTTGAAGAGTTGGGCTAGAACCTCCAACAATAAAACCCCAGATGGTTTAAAAAACCAGTGAATCACAATGCTGTAAACTTCAACACCCTTAGAAATTGTAACCCAAACATCGAAAAGCAAAATTTGCGGGAAAAGTTTACGAGCCCGCACTATTTTTATGCAGCGTCGACGCAAATCCACCCTGTTAACCCCAACCCATATCACTAACCCCAAACCACTAACCCCTAACCCTAACTTTTTTAACTTTTTAAACTTTTTGAAAATCTAATTTTTTAAACTTTATTTGCTTTTTAAAACTCTTTTGAAACGTTTTTAAACTTTTATTTTTTAAAATCTTGAAAATCTCCCAACCGTACCGGGTACCCCGCAAGACTAGCCTCCCTTTCAGTGGCATTACATTTATAACAAGAAGCCTTGCCTAATGCGTGTGGTTTTATGATTAATTCTATTGATAAATTTAAAATGTGCCGCAAATTTATCATAATGATAAATTCAGACGTGTTTAAGAATTTACTCATATAGTGATATAGTAAATTCAAAGGTGGAGCTCATGTTGATATTCTCCCCTTCTTCACTCCTGGCAAACAGCCATATTTTGAGATCAGTGAGATGACCACCCATACACCATGCGTCCGCGATATTTGATAAACTTTAGACTTCGCTAGTGCGTTCCTTTCCCCGGGTGTAAATAGCCGGACGGAATTAGTATCCTCGCCCCGGGCTTACGTCAATATTTAAGGCTCAATATTTAAGGGCTTATCCCCAATTAACTCCACAGAAATATTGGATTACTATTCGGCGGTATTTCAATTATTATGATTTATAACATTTAAAAAATTACGAGCTAGTTGAGAATTACCATCCGGATGCAAATGTAGACTACTTCGGTTTAAGTGCTTTTGGGTTATGTTTGAGTGGTCAATAAATTTCCAATGTTGTTGACCACATAATTTACTCATAATTGAGTTAACTTCGTTTATTTGTTTCCCAAGCCTAGAATCATCAGAACGAAATATTAAGCTTGATATAATTACCCCTGGCTTTGTTGTAATCGACAATTGACGTCCGACCGATTTTGCTAGCTCGGCAATTAATTCCAATATTGAAGAATACTAATTTCACTCATTTTATTTCGATAATAATTTTTTTATTAATTACTTTTTAAATTGCGATGGTTTAAGTTTCTTTGTCTCATCATCAATATCATTCCATAGTTTTGCACCAGAATATCTGATATTAAATTTCCCATAATTGGTTATTATACGAGGAAGAGAATATGATGATCTTGAAGGAAGTCCGCTAATATAATTATGTGTATATGATTAACAGGAAGGAAGAATCAAGAATGTATTAAATGAATGCGTCAAATTACCACTATGAAAATCATACATAAATAATGCCTTTTGATAAATGATAAGATCACGTAAATTTAGAACCTCAAGTTTAATAAAGGGCGGGTTTGTATGTTCACAATAACTAGAAAAAGTCATAAATCTAACAATTTTCCTTTGTGACGCCTCCTTAATGGATCAACTATACAAGTTCTCCAGAATAATGCTGCACAGACCATTCTTGACGCTTCCTACCTATTCTCATTCACTGAAGCCCTCAACAAATTACACTGGCATCCGCTTACCCACCGACGCAAACTACACCGATTACTAACCATATATAAATTTTAAAATAATTTAACAGAGTTTAATCTCGAACTGGCTAAAACTAATCATTTATATAACACAAGACGCAGAGATGAGATATACCTCTGTAAAGCCCGTTCTCCACTACGCGAATTTGTTCGCGCGACGCGAAGCAAAAACCGAAATCCGGCAACGTGATTGGTCGGCGAAAAAATTCGCGGCGAAAAAGTAGGATCGCTTCCTACTTTTTATCTGTTCGCGCGAATAAATTCGCCTAGTGGAGAACGGGCTTAAGCCGAAGACAAACTGGGGAAAGCAAAAACTGCTTTAACAGGCTTGTAAAGAGTACAACGATTTGAACTGTAATACTAGATCCATTGAACAGTTAGGAACCTTTAGGAATTAACTTCCCAAAACTCTATCTTTTTAATACTCATATAGTATACGTATATTCAAAATATAACTTACTAACTCTTTGTATCCTTGTAAATATGTATAACATGCATCATATATCCTATAGTCTCATAATTTTTCTGGTACTGTATATCATATATATCCATATACCAATATGTAAATACTGCACGCACGCTATATATATTTTCTACACTTTGTATTTTAATGTTTTGCAGGAACCATCTGAAAAACACTTCTTGTGATGTTGGTTTCCTGAATAAATATTATTGTCATTCATTCAAAAGGAATAAAGGATTAAGAGAAGAACAATAAGTGTTCCCTCAAACTACCAAACCATATATTAAAAATGGATAAATCAATGAGTAGTAAAGGTTTCTAAGAATATCACTGCTAACAAAATGTCTTATCTTAGATATAGCTCCAACGTTACGTTTTATCTTTTTTTAACGCATTGAAAAATGTGCCTTCCAGTTCAGATGACAGTCAATCACGACATCTAAATAAGAGGTGTCAAATTCTTGTTTAAGTGGCTGACCATTCCGAGAAATTTTCACTTGAAGATTAACTTTCTTTTGAATTTGATGAAATATATTGTAATTAGACTTGTCTACATTAAAAGATAACTTGTTTGCACATAACCATCGATGGACATGCGAAATTTGATGGTTGACAATAGTTTCTAATGTTACTAAATTTTTATCAGGAAAAAGGTGAATATCAAGAACACTAGTAGAGTTTCCAATATCATAGCCTACGGTGTAGACCCCAGCAGAAACACGTTTCGTGAGAGGTCTACGAATAAACGAAGAAAAGCTTTCCCGGCGCACGTCATATCCGTTTTACGTTTTGCGTAAATTGACTTCAATTTATTCAAATTTCTGAAGCGTGCGCAAATGTAAATTTTCATTTGACGTTTATTAAAATGTTCCATGGCAGTTATTTGCTTCAAAGTCCCGTCAAATAAAAGCGATATTAATTTCTTGGACAGCAAGGAGAACATATCTAAGGAGTTAGACGACCTTTCCTTCTCCATTTCACCTGCAAATAGCATTTGTAAAGCATGCCTGGCGTTGGCAAACAAACGGTGAAACGGAGAAGCTTCAAAGAACGGTTTAATATGTGAGCTAGACAATACGATAACGAACGTGCAAGAAACAGCATTAAGCGCTATTGGTATACCGCTTAAAGTAAAGCGAAATGTGAGGAAACTGGGATTCAAGCCGACTTGCGATAAAACGTTTATGCCGGCTACATTTAATGTGAAACTGTGAATTCAACTTTGCCTTCGACTTCAGAAATTGAATGTCTTGACAAGCTTCAAGCCTTCAACAGCCTAACAGTTTGTACTTTCTAGTCTGTTTGGACATATGTTTAATGGTTGGGCATATATATAGTCGGGTATATTTTATTGCACAAAGTCCGGCCTAGCCATGGAACATTTTAATAAGCGTCAAATGAAAATTTACATTTACGCACGCTTCAGAAATTTGAATAAATTGAAGTTAATTTACCCAAAACCTAAAACGGATATGACGTAGGCCGGGCAAGCTTTTCTTCGTTTATTCGTAGACCCCTCACGAAACGTGTTTCTGCTGGTGTCTACACCGTAGGTAACCTGAAGTTCAGGCCCTATCACAGAATAGGGCCTGACACAAAACCTATCTAAAGTGTGGGATTCCCGTCCACCTGGTGGACGGGAAATCTGATTGGTTGATCAGCATCATGAAGGATTTTGATTGGTTGCAAGTTCACATAAACAACAGTTTTAAAAATAGCTCGGTCAAGGCGAGAATTAATATAAAGGTCAAACGCACGTAACAAATTCTATTATCGATTTCTTCGAATTTCTTTTCTTTTATGCTTTATGGCAGAAAATAAATCAAACAAACAGTATTTTGAAAGGGCTTCATTAAAATCTTTGACGAATTTGGACACACACGACGCTGAAAGAACAGCCAAACTAGTCATGTATTCGAAAGCTTGTTGTTGACAGCCAAGATGTTCTGTCAACTTGCTTCGCCGGCAAAAGTCTTATTTTTAATATCAGGTCGTACCGTCGTAATTGTTTTCTGAGCTACATCGCCTTCTTCGTGGTATGATTGAGAATTTAATTGTTGCTGTTATTAGCCCGTTAGTCGTTAGAGTATATCCGCGTCCAGCAAGTTGAGACCTTGAGAAAGCTTGACAGTCAAGCCGTGCACAGAACTGACTAATTAAATCTTTGTTTGCTGTTCGCCTGTTCGGTTAAATAGAGAAACTGACTCTTAATTATATAAAAGTACTTTGAATTTTTAAGTTTAATTAAAAAGCAAAATGTTTTGCGGACATGTTCATGAGAATATAAATTTTTTGTGTAACGAAATCTACAACACTTGTCAATCATATTGCATGTGTGTCTAAAAATAACATGTGGGCGTTCCACGGTCTAGACAGGTTTTGTGTCAGGCCCTATTTCAAATTAGGGCCTGAACTTCAGGTTACACCGTAGGGTACCAATATCATTGATATATAGCAAAAAGAGAAGAGGTGCAAGAAATGAACCTCGAGGTACATCACAAGCTCATTTAATAGTCCAGATGCATTACTTAATTCTACTGAAACGAATTGTTTTCTGTTATCTAATTAAGTAAAACCTATTATTGCCACTTATCAAAAAGCATAATGGAGGCCCACAGCAACTCTCTTGTTCTCTCAATAGGTGTGTGTGTATGTGGGGTTAGTTAAACTCAAAAATGCATAATTGAAACAATTGGCTGATTTGACATTTTAATTGATTGTTGCAATAATTTCACACTGATTTTGTAATTTCTTTGTTAATTTTATTTTTAATTAATATGAAAATAATGTCATCTAATAACCCATAAATCAAGATACTGTTAATAAAATTGTATTTTATGTGGATGTAGTTAATTAAATATATTCATCAACAGTTTGCGACTGTTCTTTCCCAACAAGTTGCTGAATGGTACTTTATTTCTGAAAAAAATATGTAAGAAATTAATATTACTGACACTAAAACAACCAAATACTTTATATAATAATTGTTGTGGTTATTGTTCGACACTGGATCCCAACATTTAACTGCTATTAATCCAACACAACATTACACAGGCACGGATTTTCTGGTGGTTGCGGGGGGAGGGGGTACTGGGGGGGGGGGCGTCCCCAAAAAGAAATTATTTGCACCACCTCCCCAGAAATTATCTACACCCTCCCCAGAGGCATTTGGCACCACCCCCAAAAGTTTTTGCACCCCCGCAAAAAATATATAGAGAATAATAAATGAGAGCGCGGAAATACCAGATTTATTTCGAGTGTTGAACATGATATCTCACGAGTGAGCGCAGCGATTCCTCTGCATTATGAAAATTTAATAAAATAGTGAATTAATATAATTTTAAATTTTTTTTAATCGGTGTGACATAATTTGCTGCGAGATTCATATCTGTAATGGATTACGTCATCTGTGCCTGTGTGCACAAAGCCGGTCAGAATGCTCTTGAAAATCCACTCATTTAAACCCATGGCTTAAGCAGATATATGCTGCTAACAATTAAAGGTTATCAGATAGTCTTGACAACTGGGCCCGAGGACTTGTTTGAATTCAACTGAAATTTATTTTGCATCACTTTGGCATGTTGAAAGAATAAGGAAAATAGTTCAGACCAATAGCATGTAAATATTGGGGTTCGGTGTCAGGCGAACAACCACTATGTAAAACATTTTCCTCCAAAAATGCATGAATTACCAATTACCAACATTAAATATCATATCAAGAATGTTTCATTTTCTTAACCCATTAAGATGCAGAGCTTCCCCATATTTGACGAGTAATATTCGTCTGGCGTTTATACAAGTAAACAAATATTAAAGTAGCACGCATTGCGGCTCAATGGGTTAATTATGAAATTGATTTTACTCGTGCAATTTTTAGGGAAAATGCTACAGGCCTCTAAACCTGATCTTATATATGAAACTAGCTTCAACAGAAGTTGGTAGAATTGAACTGCCAATTTTTGGATCTTGATAATTCTACACATAATTTCTTTGCCATCAGTTGCCAGTTAAGTACGTGGATTAAACCATTCAAAGTCATGATAGTTCTGGCTTAAAAAGGTCTTCCTCTATAGGTATACTAATATAATAGAAAGCACTTTAAATTTACTAAGTAGTATCATGAAGCAGATGGTGGTCAAAATATGAAAATAACAAATGAAACTAAAATCTGAAATTTCAACCATTTTCTTTCGAGAAAGACTGTTTCTCGTAATAATATAGTTTGGGCAACCTAATTGTACACATCAGTTGCTAAAATTGTCCACTACACAGTACAAATAGGCTGTTTATTTCGCTTTGTTTTGACCTACTTTATCACAAATAATTATTGAACATATAAACAGTATATTTTTACCTTTACAAATAACGTCTTTACAAAATTTCTTGTGGTTTAAATATTCGTTATTCCCTGTCTTCCCTAGCCAACATGATTCTTGCCACCTGTACATTGCTACTCGAAACAAATGTTAAAATGTCGAAGAGAAGGATAACGCGAAGGCAAACTTCAAAACAGAAAGCTTTTAATATTTTTGCTAAAATCAGCTGGATGTGAAAGTGCATGCTAGCGGGCTCAAAATGAGCCTTGGTCTGTGGTAATTACCACGAGGGTTTGTGACCAGTGGCGTCATTCTGGCGTCAACAAAGGACGAAATCCGCCATGTATATGGCGACACTTGTTTGACTGAAGAAAGATAGGAGCACCTCCTCCAGTAATATAGTATAGCTCAGTGGGTCAATATGAAAAAAATTTGGGCGCGTTTGCGCCATATTACTATGACGACGAGAATCATATTGACTCGCTGACTCCATTGATATCACGACGACGACGGCTGCCGAACGACTAAGGAATTGCTTTTTTCTTAATAAAAATAAAATACAAATGGCTCCACTGAAATGAAAGCGACGTCTGCGGCAATACACTTGCACATGCGAGCAATCGTCTTCGCCACAAGAAGACTGTCCATGCATTATGGAAATCGTTATCTCGACCAAAAAAATTCTTACGGCAAATGAAGTTACAGTCCTGCAGCACACATTGCATTATAGCCGGGTGTACACAAAATGCTAAGACTGTGTGGGGGAAAACTCTTTTGGAGAATTCACCGAAAACTATAAGTCCAACTCCTCAAGGTATTACCTGGTGTTACGGTCAATGGCAACCCTCCTATTTTGATATGACGAGAACTGACGCATGGGATTGAATTTAATTAAGGTATCTCAGAGGATATCGAGAAAGCAGATTACTTAGACGTGTCTCAGCGGAACTTGATCGTGTTGGATGATCTCATGGCATAGTCGGGCAAAAACAAACGTGTAGCTGATCTTTTCACGAAAGGAAGCCATCGCCGAAATTTGTCCATTTGTCTACATTGCCCAAAATATATAAAGATGCCACGAGCCGACCTCATGCGTATTTGATGTTGGATTTGAAGCCAACAACGATGATGAACAACGACCTAAAACAAACATACTGCCAGGCGAAGCTGATGCCTTTGTCGAACATGTGCGAAAAAAGTCGTATCAATGCCAACCACTTGTAAATACGATTTACACTGCCGAAAAGCGAATGCTTAAGAGATCATGGAAGCGCCTCAACTTTCTGCAGTGAAAGAAGCAAGCTATATTCTGATCAACCAAAGCGGTATCTGACGTTCAAAGCTAAGATGGATGTCCCATCTTACCATCCAAGTCAAGAAATTAGTGAAACCTTGTTGCATCAACACCTCGTTGCACAGGCACCAAATGAACCTGTTGAAGTACAGTACCACAACCAGAGCCACCTACTTCTAACCCTAACTTTCTTACACTACCACCAACGGAAGGTGAACGATCAAGGCTCAAGCCCAACTTTTTCTACAATTGGGTGGCGTTAGCTGGTTGATTGAGAACAGAATAATCTGGCTATAATGAAACCGAAAGAAAGAGAGCGGTACGAGCACAGGAAAAGCCAAATTATATTCCAAAAAAGCCTAAAGATATCGCAAGATTATCGCCTGAAGAAGAGTATGAGAATTGTCTAAAGATATAAAAGTCACCTAAACGATATTCTCTTAGAAGCAGACTCAAATAACCTTAATAGCTTTGTAAAAATTTAAAAAAATAAATGACATTGTGTTTTAAAAATAAATTATTGTATATAATTGTTTCCATAATTAATACTTAAAAAAATTAGCTCGTACTTCTCTCACGACTGTTAGTGACTTAGCAAACAATATAGATATCCACAAAAGATAACATTTCGATATATTATGTCTCGATTTATTTACCTGCTTAGGTTTGGAAAGTCTATTACTATAAAACCCACTCGAGCAAATGATTGTCTTTTCGGTCATACACGTTCAGGTTGCCACGATAATAATATTCCTATATATCCATTGGGATCTTTTTAGATATGTAAATTTATGTTCGCCTAATCTGTTGCTTACCTTAACCTTTGTGTAGTACAAAATGATTACGCGACGCATCGCAAAAAGTTATATATTCCTGCAAGTTATGTGGCTATCTTTATATTATTTCCAAATGGTCAGCATTAGATTCACTATGTTTATGATTATTCGGTGTATATAGTTAAGTGCACGAGGAACCAACGCCATGCATACGTCGAATATAAGTTAATTCATCCCCCTCACGAAGATTAAGTTACCTCACTCTCATTTACTGAATATTTCATTTTTCTCAATGAGTGCGCTGCCCTGCATATGTATTGACTGAGTAATACGTTATAGGTTAGTTAGTCTAATTTGCTGAATATTTAATTTGTTTACTCTCATTTACTCAATATTTAATTTCCTCACTCTCATTTACTCAATATTTAATTTGCTTACTTTCATTTACTAAATATATAATTTGGTCACCCCCGCTGTCCATCCGCTGCATTCCGTCTCCCTCTGCCGCAAAATGGAGGTCGAAGCCATGTGCTGCCCGGTTAATGCTAATGATGATGCTGTGCCCTGCAGTGTACTGGGCGCCCTAAAAATTGGGCCCTAAAACCACCTACATTACTACTCAAACCAGTTAACATAGGTTTTCACACTCCTCCTCCGAGGCTTGAAGTATTGGTATAACTGGGCAGCCTGAGGTTCAAGTTTTGTTATAAAGCACGGTAAAGGATAAGCAGGGTAAATTGTTGGAGGAGGGGAGATTCCAAACAACCTCTGCGGACGAGAGTTGTACGTGATAACTGTTTTCGTGCTGTAAAAAGTTTCAATAATTATAATACCCTGTTGTTCTAATCTTTAGCGTTCTTGCCCAAATCAAAAGACAGTGGCAGAGCTATAGCGGAACAACGCAAGAAAGAAGTCGGTGAGAACAGGAAAGTGTACAAGTGGGGAACAGATGCAAGATATACTCAAGATCTTCCAGGATTTGTAGAAGCCAAAGGTCCACAGTCTCTGCCCAAAGACGTTAGATTTACTGACGAAGCCACGTTATCCTTGTTTGGAGTAGGCCTGATAGATTTTGAAAACCATGGTTTGGGTTATATCTATGGAGACTGGAAATCTTGGGATTCCTTGGAGGATTTCCGGAAGCTCATCACTCCAGCCATTCATAGTGGTCTTCCTCACGCTGCTGAGTATTGGCGAGATGATGTGTGGTTTGGAGCACAATTTCTCAACGGCTCAAATCCAGAAGTGATCAGAAAATGTAAAAAGCTGCCGGATAATTTCCCGGTGAAAAATATAACGGTAGACAAATTGTTGGACCGTGGATATAATTTAAAAACAGCAATCAAGGTATGTTATGTTGCCAATGTTACAAATCCTTATTTAAACGCAAAACAATAGACAATCGCAAATGTTAACATTCTATTTCGCAATTTTTTAATATATCTACAATTTAAGGAGTGTCCATTAATTTGTGTTGTATTTAACACTCCAGGTAAATTTGTTTTTTACAAATTCTTGTTCTACTTTTACATGTAGCCAGTCCTCTTTCTGGCCTGGTCTCCGCATCATTTTCTTTTCCTTCAGGAAATTTCCATTGTATAACTTGCAATTCAACATCCTTCTCATTATTTTACTATATTTTAGTAAACCGAATTGTTTACTCCATTATATCCACTGTATAGTTATAGTCTCCTAAACACTATTTCAAAAACATAACTCCTTGTTTTTTGTGAATGACGCCCTAGACATTTTTCTTCTTTTCTAATAACGTTAAATTTATTTTAGACATGCCTGATTTTCCTTGTTGACTACAAGATCCTTGAAGGGGTGGCAACAATGAACAAACCAAAAGACAAACGCTATATCACGCCGGCTATGGGGTTGTTTTACCTCAAGAACAACGACGATATGGTGCCTATTGCCATTCAATTAGGTCAACAGCCTGGAGAGGGCAACCCGATATGGACGCCTTTACAAGACACTGAATGGGACTGGTTAATGGCAAAACTTTGGCTTCGTTGTGCTGACACACAATATCACCAGGTAAACATTATAAGTACGCAAAATGTATTAATTTCCGTGTTACAAAATAAGTGGTTTTATTACGAAAAATGGCAAAATGCGGCATTTTGTTCCTAAATTCATGTTTATTGGCACAATTAGAGAAATTCCTAATGATTAATATCAGGTAGTCGAAAATTCATTTCCCACATATTTCCTCGAATTTCTTAATTCAATTCAAAAATTTAGAGTAACAAGGAGCAATAAGGAATCAGCCAAAATATGAGATAATATCATTTTGAGATAAAAGGGAAAGTGCTCTTGAAATCTTGAATAGCCAATGTTATAAAATGGAACTAACATTATTATATTCATTTTGAAATCCATGCGGTTTCTTGCCATCTGCTGGCAGTTATCTACGGTGGCCCACAGGTGTCAGTACATACACAAAATCGAATACCGAAATCAAAGTCAAAAACGTAATTCTAAACTTAAAACACTAGTCCAAATTATCAACTCACAATTCGAAATTATCAACGCACAATTCAAAATTCTCAACTCACCATTCAATATTGTCAACTCACAAATCAAAATTCTCAACTCACAAATCAAAATTCTCAACTCACAATTCAAAATTATCAACTTACAATTCAAAATTCTCAACTCACAATTCAATATTGTCAACTCACAAATCAAAATTCTCAACTCACAATTCAAAATTCTCAACTCACAATTCAAAATAGTCAACTCACACTTCAAAATTCTTAACTCACAATTCAAAATTCTCAACTCACAATTCAAAATTCTCAACTCACAATTATCAACTCATTTGCCCAGGCCACCAGTGTTTTCGCGCACAATATGGCCGTACGGAATCTTTTGTGGCTGCGATTGTGGCATGTTTTGTTCATCATGCGGTTACAACTTAGAGGAAACGTTTAATTCGCTTCAGAAAATGTCGAAAATCCTATCCTGGGGAATGGAAAATCTGAAAAATTTTTGAGGGATGACCTCATCAAGCCCCCTGTTTCTTCCACTTTGAATAATTTTAGGTCAACTTCTCCTTTGACAATCCCTTCCCTGCAACGTCCATGATTCTTCTCGCCCGAGAAACACGCCGTTATTCAGGATAAATTATATATTGTAATATCAGTTTTAAAGTAGGTAAAATTCATCATCTTTAAAGCAAGGAAATTTTGTAAAAAATAAGGACATTTTGAGCAGTTGAGAAGGAATTTTTTATAGTGGAAGCACTGGTCGTCGCGCAACTTTAAGTTTACATTATATGATGAAAACACCGATTTCATCATTTTTTACATTTTTATTGATTTATATTCAGGGGCTGGAGATCTCTCTATTGCCGCAAGTTTTTTTCAAAAATATTCAAATGCGTCCGAAATATAACAAAAAATGTTATAACCACTTATTCTTTTGCCGCGAAAGTTGTAATTGCAATCACAGGCGGCCCAATCTTACCCTGTGTTATTAATTACGTTATATCTTTATATAAATAATATATTGAAAATCATTAGAAAATCGTGCGTTATTAATTTATTACGTTATATCTTTATATAATAGTATAATGAAAAGCGCTTACATGTGTTTCTTGAAAGATTTTAACGAGAACCGGCCAAGATTGGCGTTGACAAGAGGTCAACGGCCATAGTTGGGGTTGACATGAGGATTAACAGCAAGAAATAATACAA